AATGGGATGGGGGGAGGAAGGAAGGATGGATATGGGAGCAGGGAAGTATATATCTCAACTAAAGGAGCCATTTTAAGGTTTGCAAGAGACTTGATTCTAGAGGGGTTCCCAGGTCCAAGGAGAGATCCCCAGATTGTTCCCTGGATAGCAGAGGAGAGGGGACTTGAACTGTCCTTGGCCCATAACCATACTGATGAATATTTTGCATATCACCATAGAACCTTCATCTGGCGATGGATGGAGATAGAGACAGAGACTCACATTGGAACACTGGACTTAATTCCCTAGGTTCAGATGAGAAGCAGATGGAGGGAGAATGTGAGCAAGGAAGTCAGGATCAGAGGGAACCTTCATCAGATGATGGATGGAGATTGAGACAGAGACCCACATTGGAGCACTGGACTGAGCCCCCCAGGTCCAAATGAGGAGCAGAAGGAGGGAGAACACGAACAAGGAAGTCAGGACCGAGAGGGATGTGTTCACCCACTGATATAAGGGGACTGATCTAATGAGAGCTCACCAAGGCCAGCTGGACTGGAACTGAACGAGCATGCAATCAAACCAGATTCTCTGAATGTGGCTGACACGAGGATTATCTGAGAAGCCATTGATAATGGCACTGGGACTTGTTTCCTCTGCATGTACTAGCTTTTTGGGAGCCTAGTCTTTTTGGATGCTCAGCTTCCTAGACCTGGAGAGAGGGGGGAGGAACTTGAATTTCCCACAGGGCAGGAAACCCTGACTGCTCTTAGGACTGGAGAGGGAGGAGGAGAGGGAGTGGGGGGAGTGGGAGGATATTGGGAGGAGGGGCGGAAGTGGAAAGTTTTATAAACAAATAAAAAAAGAGTGCCTATCACATAGTAGGTGGTCACTAATATTTGTTGAATTAAATGGGACTGTCAATAGAAATGAACTTTTTTTTAATTCCTTGCTGCTTAATGTCTTCTACATCCAAGACAATAAATGTTTCCTGTATCTTCTAGTTGTTCTAGAGTTGTGTATCTTACAGGAACTTGCTAATCCCTCAAAAGTCTTTCTTCCATCCTCTATTGGTAACTGTTTTATCATGATATATTTTACATGAAACAAATGTAAAAATATCAAATTTATAGACTGATCAGTTTTATGTATGTGTATATATCCATGTGACCATTACTTATACTGAGAATCAGAACATTTTCTTCCTTCATTCCAGAAAGTTCTTTATTACCCTTTTCAATCAATAATAGTTTTTCAGGACCTGGAGAAATGGCTCAGTACTTTGAGTTTTTGCTCTTCTTTCAGGAAACTTGAATTCAGTTCCTAGCACATATATTATGTGGCTCACAACTGCCTACAACTTCAGCTCTAAGGAATCTAACCCCCTTCTTCTGGCCTCCACAAACACCAATATATACACCCAAATAAAAATTATACAAATAAAATATTTTTAAAGCAATAGTTTCTCTAATTGAGTTAACTATTATTCTTACTTCCCTAACCAAACAATATGAAAATGAACCAAAAAAAACTCACATTTTAGAATAATAGAATTGAAATATTTTGAATGTAAGGGCAAACATTGAAACAATTAGAAAATTCAACATAAATACTGGTTGTGTTGTTTCACAAAATGACAAACATGGGTTAAAACTAATGGAAATAGAGACAGTGGGGAGTACAGGCAAGCTAGGTTGGACAAAGCAGAAGGAAATGGAAGTTGATCACTCCTTTTCCATTGCCATCCACCTGGATGTGGTGTTTGTGTGGAAACAGAAGTGGGAAAGGCCCATTTTATCCATATGAATGTTAATCCCATGATGGGGTTCCCTGCATTGGGAAAGCCGTCCTATCACAGTAGCTCATGTCATAAATTAATCTAGGGTGCTTTAAAAAAGGTTTTTAATTTTTATTTTTCTTTGTTCTCTGTGAATATGTGTGTGATTTCTATGTGTAAGTATGGGTATTCCCTTGTCTCTGCCTCCCATCTTCCCTCCCTCTCTGGGATTATGGACATGTGCCACTGTGCCCAACTTTACACATGTTCTGAGGAGGCCAACTCAGATCCACACACTAAAAAAACAACAACTTTTACCCTCCAAGCCTTCTTCACAGTCGTGAATCTAGTTCTTGATGAAAAAAAAATGTCAAGATTTGGCTGAGTAGAAGTATTGTTTTGTGACAGCCATCTACTCAACTATTTGCATTCAAGTAACATGGGTATGTCATTGCAACTAAGTATGATTAACTTTGTCATACTTGAAAACATAATGAAGCCTTTATTCAAGTATCAAGCTTTCCAAACATGTGACTTATTTATATCTATATTATTTACATCTTCAATTAAAATTAATAAGAAAGAAATTCAGTCACAATTTCTCCTTATAAAACTTTTATTAATGCCAGAAATGAAATACTAAAAGTGAAACAAAATTGAAAACTCAGTGTCATTGTGGGTACAGAGATGATATGAACAGGGGGTACTAAAGGAGACCATTAAGAAGAGGAATGTTTGTGGGTTTGGACACTGAACTACATGTCATGATGATTCAGTTGATTCCATCTCTATAGTGAAGCAACTACAGATAGGTTTTTGTGTCTTTATAGGCAGGCTGTGTGTGCCTCAGGCCTTCTTCTTCCCTAAGGAAAGCTTAACTCCTCACCAGTTCTGGGATTGCCGACTTTCCCAACTTTCAGGTTGAAGGCCTCCTGTTCCCCATCCTGCACTGGGAATAAAATGGAAAGGAGCTACAGAAAACAGTGAAATTAATATCAGCACTGTCCTATTTAATTGGCATCACTTTGTCTCAGTGGTAGCTTTCTTAGGAGCATTTGCTGTCTCCAGCTTACAAATTACTTGTACTTTGTTTTACTGTGCTCTTATGCAGGCATCCTTCAGCAGTTTCATCAAAGCAGGGCATAATTGTATACATCCTAAAAATGATGTCATCTTTGCCTTGTAAAGGAGTGCCTATTTAGGGCACTCTTGTTTTTAATATATCTAAAAGGGTTGTATTACTTATGTACTAATATTGAAAATATATTGTTAGAAACGTTTTGTAGATAAGATAAATTTGAATATTGAGTGAAATTCTCTGCTGGCAACTTCAGCTGCAACTTCTATCTTCATCCTTGTGTGGCTCTTGACCCTTAGGGTTATCATTTTTCTGTACTAGCTTTTTCCATGATTCAAATACAAGTATCTCATACATGGGAAAGCTCTGTTCCTGTCTATAAGGATTGAGAGTCTGCAGTCCTGGATTCCTGCTTGGGATTTCTGTGATTGTTTGTCAGTTACAAGAAAAAAAAAGGAACTTCCTCACAGGCTCTAGCCTGTGTGTTGTGGTTTGGAGTTGGATATGAGGTCCAAGTGTACTAAGGTCCTTGAACTTGTTTAAAGTACTGGACACTTTCCCTATTTTTCCACACTGAAAAAAAAATGTATACACAACATTCTGTTTTGAAAATCAAAGTGATTTCTTGTATGGTATGAAAAATATTTTGTCATTTATTTTCATTTGAGGCAGTGTAAAATGTTGACACCCAATGTCAAAGCCTACAACTTCTCTGTCTACACTGACCCTCATAGAACTGGCTGACTATTTGATCCATCTTCATATATAAGAAGCAATGGCCAGGATGAAGTGGCAGAGCTGGAACTGTTAATTTCCCAGTTCAGTTATATCTTCTCTCTGTAAGTGCTCTGAAAGATCAGAAAGGAAATTCACTAGCACGCCATTCCCAACTGAGACCTTTGTTTTGGGTTCCTCAGCCCCCAGAATCATAAAGGAAACAGCTGAATTTTCAATCTCAGGACTTAAGTCATTTTCAAGTGGAGTAAAAAAAACAGTCAGGAAACCAGAGAGTAGAACTCTTTGTTAAATTTGAAACTGCGGTGAGGATGCAAAATAAACAAATAAACAAATAAATTAATAAGCAGATAAATGCATTAAAAGATACATAATTTTTCTGGTCATTTCTATCACTTAAAAGCTTTAGTCCTTTATAGGGAAACCAACAACAATGTATGTATTCCCTGAGGTGCTAAAAAATTTCTCTGCCAGAATCAATAAGCTTATAAAGCAAAGAAAAATGTTGAATGAAAGAACTGCAAACATACTCCCAAACTTCCCTGCTGCACAATTTGACCAAGCCCACACCTCTCACACTTTGGATTGCCTCTCATCGGTCCACTCCTGCTTGGTGCTCTGGAGAGCTTGTGTCTTCTGCTCATCCACTTGGACATAGTCTACTCTCTGCTCTTCTGAAAGAAGTTTCTGAAGGGGGAGAACAAGAAGGCTTTAATTTCATCTTAATTTAAATGTTCTTTGGCAGATTATATTTGCTTCCTCTCCTCCATATAGAAACTTGGTACTATATGTGTATTAAGTTTGTAAGCATTTCTTAGTTGTTTCATTTGCTTAGACCAATAGGATCTAAGTGGAAGTGATTTATGCTGACGCTAAGTAGAAGCATCCTGAAACTCAGTCTTCTCTCTTTTTTTCCCCTCTGACAAGAGCCCTGGATTGAAAGTTGTCTGCAACACAAAAGACCTGGCCTATAAAAGCCTTTCTTAGGAGTGATAGCTAAATGTTACTTTGTTTCTGTAAGCATCTGAAATTGTCTGCTTTGAGTGGCTAGCTTACTCAAACTGACAAATGTGCCTCCTGTATTGTTTCTCTCACTCATCTCACTTCAATGTCAGAACAGTGTTTGGGAATGTAAAGAGACACACAAATGGAATCATTCTATACATTCTGTTCAATGGGTTGCTTTTTATCCACCAAATAATACATTCTTAGTGTGGATCATGACCATCCCTTGTTCACATACCATCATCATGAGGCTGTCAAGTGTGTGATATCAGTTAATAGCTACTTGCTTACTAACTACTCAATTCTCATATTCCTTGATGTATGTGGCATTATTTCTGATCTCTAATGTATAGAGAAGAATACTACCCAATGGAGTTGAAACGGCATTCAAGGGCATTCACTGAGATCCACTTCAACTTAGAGCTCCTTTCACCAATCCTTAATAACTAGACAGACTAAGTCATTACTTGTTCCCTAAACAAACTCTTCCTATGCCTCAAGAACCTGTATGTGCCTCAACCTCATCTCTGCCTAGGGACTTTTTCTGTAACTTCTATGACCCCAAATTCAGAGAGCATGAATATTACATGTATTTATACACAGACACCCAGAGAAAATATCCTAAAGAAAACATACTGGGATTTAATTCTTTCTGGGGGTCAGGATTAAGGTTAATTTTAGCATTCTGATTATAGACATCTTCTAAGATCTAAAGAGAATATACATGTTTGATCATTAGAAAAATCTCCAGCAGTGGGATCAGAACCTATCCAGGGCACATGAGCTGGCTTTTTGAAACACATTCCCCATGCAGAGATGCCATGCCAAGTCTTGCTGCAGGAGGAGGAGCTTGGTCCTGCCTCGACTTGATATGCCATACTTTGTTGACTCTCATAGGAATGGAGGAGGAGTTGGATGGGAGGGGGAGTTGACGAGAGGTGGGGCAAGGGTACAGGAATAGAGGAGGGAGGGGAAACTGTGATTGGTATATAAAATAAAAAAATTAATAAAAAAAGAAGAAAAAGAAAAATCTAAGCAAAACTGAAATCACCTGGGAATTATTCCTACCTGCTGCACAGGGGCTGGTGATGCTGAATTGAAGTCCAGGGCCAAATAATCCAGGCTGAATTTCTTTGTCCAATTAAGAGCACTACTACTCATGGAATTGACTGTTCTATATTCTTCCTAGGAACCAACATCACAAGACTGAGATCAATAATGAATATTTAGGGTGCATGTGGGGGGAAAAAGCTAGTCTGGGCTTCATCCAAACAGCTGCTGCCAGATCATAAAAGGGTGATCTGGGGCCTGCACATTTGAGTTAGAGTTGACATTTCAGTCAGGCATGATGGCGCATGCCTTTAATTCCAACAGCAGGGAGTCAGAGGCAGGCGGATCACTGTGAGTTTGAGGACAGCTTGGTCTACAGAGTGAGTTCCAGGATAGCCAGAACGGTCACACAGAGAAACCCTGTCTTGAAACAAACAAATAAGTTGACATTCCATATACAGTATCATAAGGTGTTAGAGGCACTTGCTGCCATGCCCAGATTTCTAAAAATGATTTAATTTTTTATGTGCATTATTGTAAGGGTGTAGGATCCCCTGGAATGGGAGTTACAGACAGTTGTGACTTGCCATGTGGGTGCTGGGAACTGAATCTGGGTCCTCTGGAAGATCAGCTAGGGCTCCTAACCACTGAGCCTTCTCTCCAGATCCCATGTCCAGATTTTTAACGAGGGTTCTGGGAATCTGAATTCAGATCCTCTTGGCAGGAACTTCTAATTTGTTAATGTTCTTAATTAAGATAATAGATATTCCTGGCTTGTCATTTTAATAGCTCATCTTACTAAGTATTGATAATAATTCAGTTTTTAAAAGGTTTTTCCTTCTAGCACTGTTGTAGAATATTAGTTTAAGATGTATTACATTTGTATCGCCATCCAACGCCAGATGAAGGATCTATGGTGATAAGCAAAATATACATCAGTATGGTTATGGGCCAAGGCCGGTTCAGGCACCCTCTCCTCTGTCCAGAGAACAATCTGGGGATCTCTCCTTGGACCTGGGATCCCATATATAATCAAGTTTCCTGTAAACCCTAAAATGACTCCCTTAGTTGAAATATATTCTTCCCTGATCCCATATTCATCCTTCCTCCCTTCCCCCCATCCCAGTCAACCGAGCTTTCTCCATTCCTCCCCTACTCCCTTCTAGACGGAGACCCACATTGGAGCACCGGACTGAGCCCCCCAAGATCCAAATGAGGAGCAGAAGGACGAAGAAAATGACGAAGGACTGCGAGGGATGCTATCACCCACCGATACAAGGGGACAGATCTAATGAGAGTTTACCAAGGCCAGTTGGACTGCGACTGAACGAGCACGTGATCCAACCAGATTCTCTGAATGTGGCCGGATTCTCTGAATGTGGCTGGCCTGGAGTCTTTCTGAGAAGCCATTGACAATGACACTGGGTCTAGTTTCCTCTGCATATACTGGATTTTTGGGATCCAGTCTGTTTGGATACTCACCTTCCTGGACCTGGAGGGAGGGGGGAGGAACTTGAACTTCCCACAGGGCAGGAAACCCTGACTGCCCTTAGGGACAAAGAGGGAGGAGGAGAGGGAGGGGGGGAGTGGGAGGGTGTTGGGAAGAGGGGCGTAAATGGAAACTTTTATAATTTAATAAAATTACTTTCAAAAAAAAGATGTATTACATTTGATTATGCTATGGAAGATTTGTTTTAATGATGCAAAAATGTGTTGCATTCTTTTATGCTGTATTTGTTAAACTCTGTTAAGATGTGTTACTTTGCTTGTCCAAAACACCTGACTGGTCTAATAAAGAGCTGAAAGGCCAAGAGCAAGGCAGGAGAAAGGAACAGGTTGGGATGGCAGGCAGAGAGAATAAATAGGAGGATAAATTTGGGAAGAAAGGATCAATGATCAAGGGGCAAGAGTGAAAGGAGGGAGGATGCTGGGGGCCAGCCACCCAGCCACCCAGTCAGACACGGCATAAGAAGTAAAAAAGGGGGGGGGCGTTGGGGTATATAGAATACAAAAAGATAAAAGCCCAGTGGCAAAAGATAGAAGGGAAAACTTGAGCCAAGAAAAGCTGGTTAGAGGAAGCAAGCCAAGCTAAGGCTGGGCATTCATAAAAAAGAATAAGCCTCCATGTGGTTTGTTTGGAAGCTTCCTGAGAGCTCAAAAAAGTAAGGAGTAAAAAAGAAGCCACAACATAGCACAGTTTTTGTTTTTCCCATCTGTTTAGACCCCTGTCTTTCATGCTTTCTCAAAGTGTCAGGTGAAATTATTGGTTGTCACTCATTTAAAAATCAATGGTCAAAGCAAAGAGTGGTAGCACACATCTTTAATCCCAGCACTAGGGAGGCAAAGACAGGTGGATTTATATGAATTTGAGACCAGCCTGGTCTACATAAAGAGTTCCAGGCCAGTCAGAGTTACCCAGTGAGACTCTGTCTCAAACAAAACAAAGCAAAGCAAAACAAGACAACACCAAAAATAACCCAACCAAACAGTAATAAAAGCAAATGGTCAGAAGACTAACATATGGGGCTGAAAAGATGACTTAAGAGTTAAAAGCATATACTGCTCTTCCAGAGAGAAAAGTCAACTTATGAATCCAATGTCTTTGGCCTCTAAGAAGACCTACAATCATGAGCACATACCCCTCCACACACATACACACTTTAAATCTTTTTAAACGGGTTAACACAAGCTGGGCAGTGGTGGCACACAACTTTAATCCCAGCACTTGGGAGGCAGAGGCAGGTGGATCACTATGAGTTTGAGGCCAGCCTGGTCTACAAGAGCTAGTTCCAGGCACCAAAGCTACAGGGAAACTCTGTCTCCAAAAAAAAAAAAATGGTTAACACAAAGCTTTGCAAATATGAGTAAAAATTGTAAGTCCTGGAGTTTCCTGAAGGGGGTATTACTGGTTTGTTTTTGTGGGTAACACCTAATTTCAGGATTTAGAATCTTTTGGGCTGCTGAGAGAGCCTAGAGATCTATTATCTTCCAGCTTTCAGGACCAGTTGTAAAGGTTTTGGTTTGGCTGTCAATCAGACGTGGAAAAAAAAGGGCAGAGAAATCTCATATCCATTTGTTCACCTTGTTTGTGATATTGTGTTAAAAGACAGAGGGAAAGGCAGACAACAAAGAACAATAGAAGATTGAGTATGATCAAAGTATATTATATACATATGTGCAAATGCCATAATAAAACTCTTTTGTTCAATCAATGCACATTAATAACATTTTTATCAACATAATATTTAGAAACTAGCTTTCCTTCCTCCCATACTACGGCTTGGATGAATGAACTGGCAGATCTGGAATGGTAGGTGGCTCATATTGCAGAGCCTTCCATGCTAGGGAACAAGGCAGGAGAGTATAATTGCCCTGGTCCTGGTGAGAAAATAAGGGAGCTGTGCATGGGTTTAAAGACCCAAGACCCTGAATATAGAGGACAGTTGCCTAACTCAGATCTTTCTTATCTGTCCTCTTTTTTCCTATCTCTCCTTATGTAATTTCCTGGTATAAGTTGCCTAGCTTTAATAACTAATACATATAGCTTGGCATATCTTTAATCCCAGCACTCAGGAGGAAGAGGCAGGGGAATCTCTGTGAGTCTGAGGCCAGCCTGCTTTACAGAATGAGTTCAGGACAGTCAATGACACAGAGAAACCCTGTCTGGAAAAACAAAACAAAACAAAAATCCATATAATACATATCCTTAGTATATAATAATGCCTAGTATTGCCCAATTTTATTTTTTGCTTTTCTTTTTCTTTGTATTGTACATATGACAGAAAATGTGATATTTATCTATATGAATATGGCTTCTTTCAGTGAACAAATCTACAGCCAGCAATACACTAAATGGGAAAAAACTGAAGGCTTTCCTCTAAAATTGGGAATGAGACAAAAGTGTTCATGTTCAACTTTTCAACATGATGTTTGATGTCTTACCTATAGCAGTAAGATCCAAGGTGACCTTTGACCTATGTTCCTTTCCAAGGACATAAGAAGACTGAATAGATTGGTTTTTATTAACCACTGATAGTATGCCAGAGAATCTTAAATATAAACAGATCATGTTTTAGAGTGAGTAGGAAAGACCTAACTATAACTGTCACCATGCTTGTCCTACCTCAGTGTATACTGAAAAAAAGTACCCTTTGAGAAGTAGAGAATTGCAACTGTTCCTAGGTGCATAATGTGGGATAAATCAATTATTAACAATACTATAAGTGGGAGATAAATACTTTAAGGCTTTCAAAGTTAAATATACCTTTGATAAAATAATGTATGTATTGAGGAGAAGGGTTCTTTAGGTGAAGAGTGTGGAATCTATGTGTCACTACCACAGGCTAATAATGACACAGTACATATTCTTGACTCTGAGATAGTTATCGTTTCCAAAATTAAAGGTATAAAGTAGCAACAAAAAATTATGGTTGGGGGTCACCACACGTGAGGAACTGAATTAAAGGGTTGCAGCATTAAGAAGGTTGAGAAACACTGACCTAAAACTTAGTTATGCACACCTAAATGGTAATGTCTTTACATTTTAAGCTGAACAGTTTTGTTTTTCCCCCTTAAGGGGATGTACTGTTCACTGTAGAATATATAACAACATTTCTTTTAATTTTATTTATTGTTATTTGTATGAGTGTTTAGTCTACTTTTATTTATGTGACACACGCATGCTGGGTGCCCACAGAGGTCAGAAGAGAGCATCAAATTCCCTAGAACTGGAGTTACAGATGGTATTGAGCTACAATATGGGTTCTGGAAGCTGAACCGAGGTACCCTGTAAGAACAAGTGCTCTTAACTATTGAAATATCTCTTTAGCCCCTGTAGCAGCACTTCTTAATATTTCCCACTACAAACCAACTGCATCATCTCTTTTTACTCTAGTTTTGTATATAGACACTGACAATGACATTTGAGGGTCAAAATTATAGCCAATTCTGAACTACTGCCCTCAAGAAAAGAAAAATTGGCAACACAACCTGCTTCAGAGCTGAGGGGACTGGAGAGCCAGCAGGGAGTATTCCTGCTGCTGGGCTTTTTTTCTCCCATCCCACCCTGCCCCCAAGCCTGCCTTTTCATTTGCGAAGTCCTTGGAACCCTGCAATAGACCCTGCTCCAGTGCTGAGGGGACCGGAAATCGGTGTGGTGGTTTCTCAGAAAAATGGGAGTCAACCTACCTCAGGATCCAGCAATACCACTCCCTGGGAATATACTCAAAAGATGCCCAATCATACTACAAAAGCATTTGTTCAACTATGTTCATTAGCAGCATTATTTGTAATAGCCAGAACCTGGAAACAACCTAGATGCCCCTCAATGGAAGAATGGACAAAGAAAGTGTGACACATATACACTTTAGAGTTCTACTCAGCGGTAAAAAAAAAAAAAAATGACATCTTGAAATTTGCATGCAAATGAATGGAAGTAGAAAAGACTATCCTGAATGAGATAACCCAGACCCCAAAATATGAATATGGTATGTACTCACTCATTAGTCGATTCTAGTCATAAACAAAGGACATTGAGCCTATAGTTCATGATCCTAGAGAAGCTAAGTAATAAGGTAAACCCAAAGAAAAACATATAGATTCACCTGGAAATTGGAAGCAGATATGATTGCCTGGCAAAAGTTGGGAGCATGGGGGCAGAGGATAGAAGGAAGGGGAGATGGGAAGGGAGAGGGGAGAAGGGAAGGACTGGGGAGAGACTGGGGGAGTGGGATGGTTGAGACGGAGGAAGGATGGATTTGGGAGCAGGGAAGATATCTTAATTGAGGGAGCCATTTTGGGGTTGGCAAGAGGTTTGGCTCTGGAGGTGTTCCCAGGAGTCAACGGGGATGATCCCAGCTAGGACCCTGGGCAGTGGAGCAGAGGGTGCCTGAACTGGCCTTGTCCCATAGTCAGACTGATAACTATCTTGAATATCACCATAGAACCTTTGTCTGGCGATGGATGGAGACAGAGACAGAGACCCACATTGGAGCACTGGACTGAGCTCCCAAGGTTCAGTTGAAAAGAGAAAGGAGGGAGAATATGAGCAAGGAAGTCAGGACCACGAGGGGTTCACCCACTGAGACAGTGTGCTTGAGCTAATGGGAGCTCACCAACTCCAGCTGGACTGGGAATGAACGAGCATGGAATCAATTTGGACTCTCTGAATGTGGCTGACAATTGGGGCAGACTGAGGGGCCAATGATAATGGCACTGGGATTTGTCTCTACTGCATGTACTGGCTTTTTTGGATCCTATTCTCTCTGGATGTATACCTTCCTAAGTCTGGTGTAGGGGGGAGGGCCTTGGACTTCCACAGGGCAGGGTACCCTGCCCTCTCTTAGGAAAAGGGGAGGGGGAGGGTGTGGGGGGAGTGGGAGGAAAGTGGGAGGAGGGGAAGAAGTGGGAATTTTGATTGGTATTATTTTTAAAGCAATAAAAAATTTAAAAAAAAAACAACAAAAAGAAAAAAGAAAAAGAAAAGAAAAATCTTATCCACATAAAAGCCTGTAGAGATCCCAAAGTTTAGGGAAAAGATGATAGAGTGAAAAGACAACTCAGAGACCTGGGAAAAGATCTATAAATTATAATTATGCATTTGATAAGGGTTAATGTTCATAACATAGAAGAAATACCAGTAACAAAAACTAATTAAAAATTAGACAGTATTATATAGTAATTTTTTCAAAAGAAGATAACAAAATGGTAAACAAGTACATTTAAGATATATAATGTCATTATTCATTTGGAAAAGACAAATGAAAACCACAATGACAATCCACTTCATATTGATTAGGGTAATTATTACAAAAAGGGGGAGAATAAAAATGTTAAGATGTGGAGAAATTTGAAATCTTTGGGTTTTGCTAGTAGGAATGTAAAATGGCACAGTCATTGTAGAAGACAAATTTGGTATTTCCTTAAAACATAGAATGTATGTATATGGTCCAACAATTCCACCTGTGGGCAAGTACTCAAAAGATTTGAGAAAGCAGGTGCTCAGACATATTTTTGTATCTGATGTTTACAGCATCATTATTCACAACAGCCCAAAGTTGGAAACAACCTACATGTCCACCAAACAATAAGTGGACAAAGAAAATACAGTATGCTCTTATTAAATAATATTCACATACATTACATATATGAATATTAAAAACACTATGCTAAATGAAAGACAGATATAAAAGAATATTGTGTGCTTCCACTTTTTAAACATTTATTCGTTTGTGTGTACACACATAGGCCACAACATGCAGTTGGCTGCCTCCATATTGGAAGACTCAGGTCATAACAGTTGTTGGCCAGTATCTTTACCTGTTGAGCCATCTTAACAGCGCTAGTCTTACTTTTATAAAGGACCTAGAATATAAAGATGTAAAATAGAACAGAAGTTACCAGGGACTTGGGGAAAGTGAAAGGGGAGTGAGTTTTTACTGGGCACAGAGTTTGTGCCTGAAATGATAAAAATAGCCTGGAAATGAACTGTGGTGAAGTATAAGTAACATACTTAATCATATACTCCAAAGTGGTTAAAATGGCAAATTTTGTGTTATGTGTATTTTACTATAATAAATTGTATATTAAATAATATAAAATGTTGATAACTGTTCTACTTGCCCCTAGATTTGAAAGAGTCCAAATGTTCCTCAGTGGGTAAGTGGGTAAACAAAATGTGAAAAATCCATACAAGGGAATGCTACTCAGCAATGAAGCAGTAGTGACATGTGTATCAGTTTGGATGAATTTCAGATCATATTCTGAGTAAATTATACCAGACTCAAAAGTATTGTATGATTCTCTCTATGTAACATCATTGACAATCCAAAACGATAGTTATGAAGAATAGATCAGTTGATACCAGGAGTTTAGAGTGGCAGTGTTGTATAAAGAGTATAAAGAGATAGAATGAGTGAATATCTGGGGTTGATGGCCATGTTTAGTATTCTCTCTCTCTCTCTCTCTCTCTCTCTCTCTCTCTCTCTCTTTCTCTCTCTCTCTCTCCCTCCCTCCCTCTATTCCTCCCTCCCTCCCTCCCTCCCTCCCTCTTTCCCATCTATCTGTGTATCTAAATTTATCTATCTCTATATACCCAAACTCAGAGAACTGCAAACCAAGAAAAACTGTATCAGGGACCCCCACAACTTCCTTATTTGATTAAAATCCAGAGTGGTTGTAAGCCATCATGTTAGCTGTTACTATCATATTGGGCAATTGTGTGGCACAAGGTATAAGCAAGTCATTTTAGAGTATATTGTAAACTGGAGTTAAAACAAATTCAGCTGAGGGAAGGAGGGAAGACACCCCCCCACCTTTTTCACATAGGACTTTGCTCACATCTACCATCAACCAGTATTGCCTGCTCTTCAACTTCTGTGTCATATTGTGCAGTAGTACACATTCATTGACAACCTATACATATTTATGCAAGTAATCAATATTTAACTGTGTTGTTTGTGAAATTACTAGTCTTACTGTCTCAAATATCAGAAGCAAACTGCTGGTGTCTGGAATAACTTTACACTTGCTTCCATAATATTTTAGGTTGACTTCCCTTTTCTGTTCTCCAGAGACAGAGCACAGCTGTTCAGGATCCTTTATAGGAATGTTTTCTTCTAGAAGTTTCCCAAGGGCTATTATTAAGTGTAAGAAATATTGGGAAGAACACAGCAGATTTATAGATGAGTCACTTCCCACCTGCATATAGTTAAGTGAATCACAGCACAACTTTTATCAAATAAGACAAAATGAAGCAGTCAGCTGTTACTGCCCTAGTGGTAATCCATTTTAGACTTTTATTTTTATATAATATTTTAATACATCCTTTGAAAATTTCATAATGCACACAATGTACTTTAATTGCCTTGTCTCCTCATACATAGGAGGATAAGAGTATCTTCTTAAGAGTATATATCAGTGCCTTGAACATCATCCTGCCTTAGCAGGATGGAGAAGATCTCTTCAAAACCTAATGTTTATAGTGAAATTCTCTCTGGAATTTCCTGTTTCTATTTTGTGAATAGATATAGTTCTAGCTAAAGAATCCACATTAAGAGAATAGGGCAACAGGACAAAAAGGATATATTAGCACTCTTGAACTGATGGCTAATCAAAGGACAAAAATGTAACATCTTTACACACTCACATCGACAGAAAGACCCTAAAACACAAATCTCCAGAAAGTTCAGAGGCAGGTGTTTTATAAAATAAAGCCTCCAAGAAACTTGTTTTTACAGCCTGGACTTTGGACATTTAGAGAATTACAAACCTATTGTAATCAAACAGAACATCATAGTTTTCTGAAAAAAGAATTGGCTACCATTTCTATTTTCCATAACACAGACTTTAGGTCCTAGGTTCTCATGAAATAATGTGGACTTTAAATGGTATAAAAAGCTGAATATTGCAAGAAAGAAAACCAACTTCAAGGGAGCTGAGGAGTGACTCTGAAGATAAAGTGCTTTGCACTCAAATATTAGGGTCTCAGTTCAGATCTCCAGAACTCACATAAAATATAGGCATGATTACATACATCTGTAATTCAGGTACAGGGTTGGGGGAAGACAGATGAATCCCTGGAATTCTCTGGCCAAGCAGCCTAGCAAATCAGTGAGCTTTGGGTTCAATGAGAGACCTTATCTTAAGATTAAGGGAAAAAATGGTAAGGTGAAGAGAGATAATGGAAGACTCCTGATGTCAACCTTTGGCCCTCACACGTATGTGCATACACATGTGCACATGCACCAATATGCACATATGCATACGCATATACTACACCCATGAACACCCTTACAATACACTTTTAAAAAGAAAAAAGGAAATTAGCTTTAAATTAATTTGCTCCCAATCTAAAAAAAAATGGTGACCTGGTTTTACAATCAAGTGTACTTTATGACTGCACAGAGACTTCTGAGGAATGTGCTTTTATCATAACGAACTCTCAAGATTATAGATTTGGAGAGAAAAAGAACATAAAAAATACAAGATTACCATTTGGATGTAGCTTTCTTCTTCTTCTTTGGAAGAAGGAGTGGCAAAAAATCTTGCAGAATTAATACCATTTCTTTGTGAAGAGAGAAAGCTGGTTCGATTGCTAAGACCAAAAAATACAGATGAGGTCAATGCAATGTCTTACAGCTGCTGTGAAACATAGCCAGGAACAGACACAGCCCTGTGGGGTTTGAGTCCTCCCCTTCCAGACATAGCTTCTTTTTGGCCCAAACAATTCTTGAAGAAGACACTTCCCAGTAGCCCTCTCCCACCCTGGAGCAAATGCTTCCCAACTGTTTTTTTCCTAAGCCCATCATGTAACACATACAAATACATCTTATTTAGTAAACAACAAATTAATAAAAAATGCTTCAAAGTAATAAAGCTGACTGACAGAATAAAAAAATACTCCAAAGCAAAATCTAAACAACCAACCAACCAACCAGACAACAACCCTCCCCTTCCTTGGGGTCTTTTTGCTTCCAAAGTAGCCAGAAGAATGAAAGTGTACTCATTAATCAGAAAGGACAAGAAAGACAGTGTATTAATTTCTGACTTCCTTCTGAGACAGAATAACAGGCTATGTGTCTCTACAGTTCAGTCTGGAAATGAAGCTCTCTGCAGAATGCTATTTTACAAAGTTAGCATGTCTGCATGGGTATGGTGGTGCATCCCTTTACCTTTAATCCCAGAACTCAGGAAGCAGAAAAAGGCAGATTTATGTGAGTTCAATGCCTTCATAGTCTACATAGTGAACACCAGGCCAACCAGTGCTACATAGAGAGCACTGCCTCAAAAAAAGTTACCATGTCCTGTGGCATTTATCACGAGCTAGGAAAATGAAGCTTATAGAAGGTAAAATGAACAGGCACAGATGTGTTAAGGTTTTTGTACCTAGCCCATAAACCCATTTTCTCTGAAAGTTCTTTTCTCAGATACAATTTATAAAGTTGGAATTCTCTAGTTAGTAGTGTTACCTGTACACTACTTTATTCCAATCTGACAGAATCCCTTAATTTTGTCTCCCTTGAAAGTCTATATTAGGATTATAAAAATAGTCCATCTTTGTTGGTTCTAGAATTGAAGCATGTAAGCTAGCTTGGAGTCTATAATCAATAATATTGGACAACTTGACTTGTAGTCAACTTGACTACTTTTAGAATCAACTAAAACACAAGCAGCTGGGCATAGCTGTGAGGGATGTTCCTTATTATATCATTTGAGGTGAGAAAACCCACCCTAAATCTGGGCCACACCTTCTGATGGCAGCTCACATAAAGAGATGTGGAAGAAGAAAACTTTTGCTTTTTGACTGCTTGCCTTAGCTCTCATTAGCAAGTTCATCTATCCTGATGCTTAGGCATTCCTTCACTGGTGTTAGAACCTATTTCTTTAGGATTCTAATGGAGACTGAAGACCAGGATCTCTCTGAGAATTCCCTGGGACTCCAGAACCAGATTAGAACTGTTGAGACATCTAGCATCATGGACTGAACAACTACTGTATTCCTGGCCTTCCCGTTGGGAGACAACCATTGTTGGACTACTCAGACCACATCCTGTAAACCACTTTAACAAATTCTCTTTTAATATATACATATTTGTTCTATCAGTTCTATTTCTTTGGAAAACCCTGACTAATACAGAGCAGGATCATGCAACAAAGAAAAGAGCTCTGCAGAGAACAGGTACAGAAGGAAGAGAGAGACGTTCTCAACACTGCTATTTCCAGGCTTCAGAATCCAGAAGAATCCAGTCACATACCTTCCTTTGTGGTCTAGAAATCACTCATGGTTCTTGATAACAAGACAAACTCCTCCTTTGGCTCCCTTAAGCAAGATGAAATGAGTTTCAACCACAAGAGATCTAAGATTTGAGGCTTACCAAGGCACAGTGTGAGTCCTGGTTAGAGATGTGTGTTCTCGGATGGTGGAAAGGTTTCTCAGTTCCAAGGGAGATGGCCGTGCTAAAAAACAGTACAGGTATTCAGTATAGTTGGTGCTCAGGAATTTTAAGCAGGGAATTTAAAGATTATAAAAGCTATCATAATCCTCTTTCTTTACATGCCAAATTAGAATATACTAACAGAAATTACTGATGATGAGTGAGAATCTTAACATTCCATTCTTGCCAGGCTCTCTGGGAATAAGGACAACTATTGAATAAATGGTCTCATAGCATACATTTAGTCAACAAACATGTATTGGGAACTCAGTCATGAATCACAATGGAAATCAAACTGGAAACACAGTATTAACCAAATACACAGAAATCTGTAGCCTCAGGAAGATTAATGTATTCCAGACACTCTACATGTCTAAGAGGAAGAAATGATCACCAGGTTCTAATTCCATGTCTCCACCTAAGGGTCCTCCCACCTAAATATTCTTCCTCATGTTGTTCCCTAGTTACTCATCTTCACATCTCAGTTCAATGGACCCTTTTTTTGGGTGGCCTTCTCTAGCCTCTAGACAGTGCCAGATCCCTCACCACAGGCCTCATGCTTTTGTTTGCTTATACTCCATGCATTCCCCCCACAGTTTATAATGAAACAATAACTGTGATTATTTGACTGTAGTTTAGAATGTGATCCCAGATGGCATGGTTTCCTTTTGGTTTGCTCAAGGCAGCAACTTCCATACTTAGTACTTGCCTCAGTGGCCTATCTGGCTGCTTTGATATCTATTTCCTCCACTAAACTACATGGGCAGAAAACCATGCTGACAGAGACCTTCTTGCAACCAAATTGTTTTCTTAGGTACCATAGGCCTAGGCAACTGTCTAAGCTCAGGAGGTAGAAACACATGAACGAAGTTCCTGGGGAGAAACCTCTCCTGGTAGCATAACAACAACCAACTGTCTTAAGGCTTCACCACCTGTTCTTCTCTACATGAACTCCGGGATTCATCCTACAACTCACCTGTCCTGGTTCATATTCCCACCTTTTCACCTTCCTACCAAGTGTTTACTCCTGAGTCCATCAAATACCTTCTCTTTGCTTAAAATTGTCTGAAATTGTTTCTGACTAGAATGGTTAGTTAATTCCTTTGTTCCCCACAAGACAAAGTCTGTTCTATTTAATACCGATTTTGTAGTGCTTCTAGATTCTTCCACTTGGCTTTGATATATAATCCTTCTCCTCAGACCAAAGAACCTCCTCAGTTTTTATCTATGGATACTCTCTGATGCCTAACATGCCAATGCACACATGGTCAACACATGGTTGGCTTACACTCAAAAGGTGTGGCTGGAATGGCCAGACCTGAGTAAGGTCTCATTTAGCAGCTTTGGGCATAGCTGCCAGAATGAGTGGTTTTTCCAAAGAGAAATGGGAGGCAAAAGTAGACCACATGGTGTGACAGGGATAATAGCTATTGCACCAGATGCTTCCTTGTAATTACATAGCCTACTGGGCAGGTGAGGGTAACAATGAAGTTAATAATTCACTTTGAGGGAGAGATGTCTCAGTGATTAAGAGCACTTACTGCTCTTCCAGAGGATCCATTTCTGTTCCCAGCACCTACATGGTAGTTTAAACTGTCTGTAACTACAATTCCAGGGGATTTGATGCTCCCTTATGGCATCTGTGGACATCGAATGCACGTGGTTCACAGAGATAAAATAAAAGCAGGCAAAATACCCACATACATAAAAGAATTTCAAAAAATAAAAAGAATTCACTTCGATCTGTTTTTTTCTTCTCCTTGTATGTCTATGATGCTTAGCAGATCAGAAGGGCTGCCTGGGAGTAGTAACACAGAAACTAAAGGTTGCACTGTGAACACAGTAGTCATGTAGTTCACAGTTGAAGTCGTTCCATACCACTACCCCTGCTGACATGTGGTAAGACAGAGCAATAAGTTATAAAATGAACTTGAGTATGAAGGACATTAAGGAATTGCTGTTAAAGACTATAGTAGGCTGCCTTCCAGAAGACTAGCATTATACATTCAAAAGCTATTTAAATGAGATGTTTTGTGGCTTCCATTATGATTCTTACCACTTACTCCTGGGATTTCATTATGGAATTAAATAAAAAATGAGCCCTCTGGTATGAACTTGGATTTGTAGGTTGCGTTTTCAGAGCCTGACTGAGTACCTTTAGGCCCCCTGGCTCTTTTTAATCATAGCAGTCTTGGAATGCAAGGTACCCCCAACGTCCTATTTCTTCCTAATTTCTTTCTAATAATCTTTTTTTCTTTTTCTTTTTTGTTTTTTTTTTTTTTTTTTTTTGAGACAGAGTTTCTACGTAACAGTCCTTGATCTCCTGGAACTCACTTTGTAGACCAGGCTGGTCTCAAACTCACTGAGGTCTGCCTGCCTCTGTCATTCAAGTGCTGAATTAAAGGTGCGTGCCAACATTGCCTGACTCTTTCTAATAAGAAAAGAGCTTGCCTTCCTACCCAACACAACAATCCTAGTCAAATGTCTTACATTTCCTCTGGGGCTTGAGATCTCTGTTCACTGGAGGTGGCTCCAAATCTGCAGGTAACTCAGGTAGCATGCTTGAGTTCATTGGGATGTAGTCATCCTGGCTGTAATGGGGCCTCAGACTAGAAACAGTGCCTGTGGGGCTCATGGGCACATAACTGTCTTCAACAGTGAGTGAAGCTGTGGGATACATCGGTGAAAACTTGCATGGCTGCAAGACAGAATAAGTATAGGTTGGAAACTACAGACCACAAATGTAAACTGCTACTAGTAGGCACTATAGCTGTGCATTCAGTTTCAGTTCCAAATTACCAGACAAGCACCTAGTCAAAAATTCTGTGTCTGAATCCACATGAGAATAGATAACTCTCCAATATCTGAAGCTAGGACACTAAAGGTTTTGAATTAGTGATTTGCTCTGTGGTAGTTAATTATGATTATCAACTTGGCTGGATTTGGGATTCCTCGGAGATACATTTTTGGGAGTATTTTTAGAGAGGCTTAACTGATAAGAGAGGTCCCACTCTGAACGTATACAGTACCAACCTCCTTGAATCTTGGAACCCTGAACTGAATAAACCATGGAGCAAAATGAACCTTTCCCTTAAGTGGCTTTGGTCAAGTACTTTTTTCATATCAATGAGCAAAATAACAATACACGCTTCAAGTATAATACTGTGCTTTAATAGTGACCTAAATCAGTTCAAATCTTTAGGGGATTACTGAAAGAGTTCTCAGAGATTCAGAGTACTGAATCTCAAAAGACTTAAAGAAAATATCACATATATGTCAGGTTATTTCTGGTCAAACTGAAACCTAAAGGAACAAAAAGACCAAACTTACCAGATTTAAACTGAGCCGCTTATCCCTGTGTCTCGGGGACTGGCTTTGTACATCACCTGAAAGATAGAGTCTGGAGTGGTGAGTGCTACAAGACAATATCCACTGAAACTAAAATCCAAGTCTGAATTCTCCCCAGGGCCTATGCCTATAGCTCCGGAGAAGCAGGGACGCATAATACATAATTTCCATACAAAAAGCTTGCTATTAAATGTAGCTTGAAGTCAGAAACCATTCCCCAAGAGATGGAAAATGAGTCCAGATTCTAAAGATACTTATGCTGTGTAATGATTTTGGTTCTCTTCATAAATCAGAAGGAAAAAACAGCAAGTAATTAACAAGTATTTTCTGAATTTTTTTTTTAAAAAAAAAGTCTTCTGAGCATGAAGATAGGGGAGATAGACCTGTGAGTTTCAGGAGAAAATGTTTGAAATATCCATTTGTAGTAAGTAAGAAAACAAGTTTAGCATAGAACAGCAGCATTGTGTTCAGCATTAAGGACTCAGTTGAGCTCTTCTGCAACCATAATCAGATACTCAGGTATGGGCACGGAAAGACAGATATTTGAACTAATCTAGAATCAGAAACTTACTACACAGATGTGGTCATGAAACAAAATTTAGAATAGTTGCTGAACTGAAAGAAGAAATGTCTATAAGGCATATTGAGTACTTCTTAACTCATCAAGTAAGGCCAGAATTACTCTAATATAAAGTCAAAGATATTATAAGGAAACTATAGATCAAGATATTTCATAAATATAAATGCAGACATTCTAAAAATACTAATAAATTTAATTTGATGATGCTTAGGAAAAATCTAATATGAACAAGTAGGATTTATAATAGTTATACATGTCTGGTTCAACATTTGAAAATCAATTATTATAATCTGCATTATTAAGTTTAAGGCATACTTTGGGGCTTTGACCCCTTTATGAATCGTGAGATTGATGAGTATGTATAGATGTCATATAGTGTGGGCAGCAGAATAACACTGGAACGGTGATAATATGAGAAAACAAGATCCTCATGTTAGAAGCCTTGGAAAGAGCCTAAACAATGGGTGTTCAGTAGAAAAGTCCATGCCTTCCCCAAAGAGCCTGTTTAACTATGGTGTAAAATGGGGTCATGTGCATTTTTAATATGACGTTTTTTTGCTAAATAAACTTTTTCTGATACTCAGAAAGGGCTAATAAAATTACAAATCATATCCACAGATGAAGAAAAACCATGTGACAAAATCCAATACCCATTCATGATTTTAAAAAGAAAAAGAGGAGTTGGAAAGGTGGCTGAGTGTTTATTTAAGAGCAAGTTTTGCTCTTCCAAAGCATCTGAGTTCAGTCCAGCACCCATATCAGTGGCTCACAGGAGCTTGTAACTCCATTCCAAGGAGGTCAATGCCTCTGACCTCCATAGGTACCTGCACTAGTATGTATATAACCGGACAGGCAAACATAAACATTGTTTAAAGAAAAAGAAATCAAGAAAAGAAGGAAGAAAGAGAGGAAGGAAGAGAGTCTCAGTAAACTAGGAAAAAAGAGGAATGTCCTCAGCTTGGTAAAGAAAGTTACAGAGCAGGGGATGTAGCTAGTGGAAGAGTGGCTGCCTAGCATGCTCAAGGCCATGAGTTTAATTTGCAGTACTAAAGAAGAAAGGTAATGAGGAACAGAAGGGATAAAGGGAGAGAAGCAGGAGAGAAGGAGGGAGGAGAGAGGAGGAGAAAGGGTAAGAGGAAAGGAAGCAAGGGAAAACCTACAAAGAAACCTATAGCTAATGACATAATTAGTGGTTGGAAACTCCAAACATTCCTCCTAAAAAAGAAAAAAAATCAAGGATGTTCCCTCTTCACACTGCTTTTTAACATTGTACTATGAGTACTAAAAAATGCAATATGACAAGAAAAGAAAAAGTATACAGATTAGGAAGGAAGAAATTAAGCTTCTCTTTGTTGCTAGGCATGGTGGTGCATGACTATAACTCCAGCACTCAGAAGACCAAAGCAGGAGGGTTGCCAAGAGTTCAAGGCCAATCTAGGGTACATGATGAGTTTGAAGTTAGTTTGGGCAGTTTAAGACTTTATCTCACAAAAATACCAAAATCCCATCTCTGTTTACATATGACATGATATTTTTCTGGAATAATAGGAACTGACACTATCTGATTTCATTATTTATTCTAATGTTATAGTAATCAAGACAGTGTCGTACTGAAGGAAAACTCAGTCACTAGCCTAAGTTCATTGTATTCCACTCTGGCTCTATTTTCCCTTTCTAATTTTTTTCCTCTAACTCCCACTCTTCTTCAGGTACCTTGAATTCCAAGAAGGTCAGGACTAATGAATAAATGTCATTATAACAAAGGATTGAAAGTATCCCCAAGAAATGATGTGCCTCAAAGAATAGATTACTCCCATGATGAAGTTGTTCCCCAAATGGAGGCAATTTCTCCATGCAGGGAATAGAGACAACACCCTTAAGCAGGAGCAATCATCTCATGGAAATCAGATTGTTTCCTTCAAGTTATGACTATAATAACAACTTTTCTAAAACCAGAACAGAGATAATGATTGATCAGATCACCAGGCTGAACGAGATTACCTACTGTGTCAACTATCTAACATTGTCATTCCCTCAGCTATGCATGCCTCAATTCTTTTTGATTTATTTCATCTCCTATAAATTCTCAAAATTTTCTTAAGATAGACTTGGGGTCAATGAATCTCTCTTTTTTTAATCTGTTTTGTTTTCATTGTTTTGTTTTGTTTGATCTAGTGCAATCCCATTGGTTAAAAATTCTTTCTCTGTCGACTTCTTTAATTAGCATATTCAAACAGGTAGTGGAACCTAGTCCACTGGGATCCTCCCTGGAGCCTAGAATTTTTCCTTAAAACTCTGGTGAAAGAACAAACAAATATTTCAATAAACTGGAATTGAGAATGCTAAAGTAGAGCCACATAAATATGTTCAGCTAAACTTTGAAAAAGAAGTGAATGCCATGCACTGTAGAAAACATTATCTTTTCAACAAATGGTGCTGAAACAATTGAATGCCTACTTATAAAAGAAATCTAAACAGAGACCTTATACCTTTCACAAAAATTAGCTCTAAGTAGATCTTAGGCTTAACTGTAAAATGAAAAACTACGGCACTGCTACTACAATAAAACAGAAGATCTTGTATCTCGTGATGAAAAAAAGAACTGATGTCATTTTTTTTTAAAAAAAAATAACACTATCAAGAGATAGGGAAAGCAAGAACAAACTAGGAAAAGACATTTTAAAAGTAAACATCCCTGATAAAAGACTGCTACACAACACATACAAAGAACTTTTAAAATAAACAATAAAGAAAGAATCTACTAAAAATGAGCTTAACAGACACCTTACTATAGACTATGAACAGATGGCAAATAAGCTTATGAGAAGATACTCTATATCATATGATATTAAGGAAATGAAAATGAAATAACCAATAGAATGGCTAGAAGTCAGACTACTGACACCACCCCATACTAGTGAAGATGTAGAGTGAAAGGAACTATAATTCCTGGCTGGCAGGAATGCAAAATGATATGATCACCTTGGAGGATAGTATGGTAATTTTATAAAAACCTAAACCTATTTTCAACCATATGGTCCAGCGATTGAATTCCTTATTTATCCAGAGGAATTAAAAATTTATCAGCATGCAAAAACTGCAAAAATGTTTACAATAGGTTTATTCATAAATTGATATAAGAATTAAAAATGAGAACTGATGTTAATACTTTCTGCAGATAATATATATGTATATATATACAAAAAAACTTTAAAAATCTACATATTAGAAAATCTGGATATGGTATCAAAACACAAAATCAATTTGAATTTCATACAACATCAAAAGAGACAAATAAAATGTATTTGACAATAAATATAAAATAGTAAATACATAAGAATATATTATAATGAACTCAAAGATTTAGCAACAAAAAAGCAAGTTATTCAACTTTAAAATGATCAATAGAATTTGGAGAGATGGCTCAGTGGTTACAAGCACTAACAGCTTGCAGAGCACTAAGGTTCAGTTCCAAGAACCCACATAGTAGCTCACAACCATCTATAACCCTAGTTTCAAAGGATCTTACACCTTCGTCTAGCCTCTGCACGCAATGCACAAACGTTGTACACAGACATACATGCAAACAAAATAACCATACATATAAAATAAAATTAAATAAACCTTCAAAAAAGATTAATAGATATTTTCAAGAAGGCAACAGATGGCCAACAAATATATGAAAAATGTTCAACATTGTTAACCATCAGGGAAGTTCAAAATTAGATTATCAACTCAGCCCAGCTACAATAACGACCATAAAAAAAATCACAAGTGCTGGTAAGAAGGTGGAAAAAGGAAAATACTTACATACTAGTTATACGAATGTGAATTAGTGCAGAAATGATGGAAAATGTGAAGCTTTCTTCAAAAAATTAAAAATAGGTTTACCATATGATCCAGCAGTTCCAGGACCAGGATTATATGTCCAAAGGAAATGAAATCAGTTTGTCAAAGAGACATTGGCAGTACCACACTTACTAAGATACGTTAACAGCAAAATGTCCATCAACAGATAAAAGGAAAAATGTGTCATATATATGCATGCACACACACAGGATCATTTATGCACACAGTAATGTGTACATGCATACAGTGGAAGGTTTTCATCTATAAAAATGGGAAATCTTTTAATTTGAAATGATATATCAAATAAAAGCAACCAGATAAAGAAAAACTGCTTCATGATCTTACATATTAAATCTAAAGTGGTTAAAATTTGGGCCTAGCCCTGTGGTTGCCAGGAACATGGCAGTACAAGGAAATGAGATGTTGATCAAAAGGTCTAAACTTTTAGCTACAGCATAAGAAAGTTCTGAGGGTCTAATGTAAAACATAGATAGTTACGGGTGTGTTAACTAATCTGTGATCATCCTTACAAATTGTATATAAATAAGAGGAGGTGCAAGAATTTTCTGGGGGCTGGAGAGATGGCTCAGTGGTTAAGAGCACCGCCTGCTCTTCCAAAGGTCCTGAGTTCAATTCTCAGCAAACTTCTGTAATGAGATCTGGTGCCCTCTTCTGACCTGCAGGCAGAGTATTGAGAATATTGTATACATAATGAATAAATAAATCTTTAAAAAAAGAATTTTCTGATTTCTATCAAGATAGAGTCAATGATTAAGAAAGTGTGATGCTGGTACAAGTTGAATTTCAGAAGACAGGAAGTAGAACCAGACTGAGACCCTTATACACATGGGTTTCATTTATGATAGCGGGAACAGAACAGCCTGTCCAATACAGGGAGCCCCGTCATGGGATGGACATCCAGAAGAACGAAAATGAGCCTTTCCCAATTCTGTCCTCATACAAACATCATATCCAGGTGGATGGCAAAGGAACAGAGTGTCAATTTCCATTTTTACTCTGCTTTGTCCAACCCAATTTGTTTCTACTCTTCACTGTTGTTTCATGGTCAAAACCCCTATTTTCATCTATTTTACTCTGTGTTTTTCTTTATCCAAAAGAACACAACCTGGCTGTTTCATGTTTGTCTCAAGACTGAATTCATTGTCACACTCCATAATTCTACTAGCTTTATTCACTCCAGTTTCTAATTTTGGGGGTGGTGTTTCAAGACAGGGTTTCGCCATGTAACATCCCTGAATGTCTTGGAACTCACTCTGTAGACCAGGCTGGCTTTGAACTCAGAGATCTGCCTACTTCTGCTTTCCAAGTGCTGGATTGAAGTCATGCACCACTACTGTCCAGTTTTAGTTCCTAAATTTTTCTTACCAACTTCTATTTGTCCCCATTTTTTGTTACTATTCCATGCATTTAGAACCTTTGTGCAATGGGGACACACTCATTTCACTGGGGTTATCTGATATGTGATGGTTAGTTACATCATTAAAGGACCTTGAGTGTTTCCAGAGTGGCATATTTCTTAATCAGAATGAGAGATTTGAAAACCAATTCACCTTCCTTACACTTTGACTAACTCCTTTGATATATACTCTTAGTAAGTAATAGTGTGGGATTGTATTTGGGAGGAGGGAGCATGAGAAAATGAGTTTGTTTTTTTTTAATCTCTCTATAGGTGTAAGAGAAAGGAATAAGTGAATTGGTATGCTGAATGAGACTAACAAAATTGATAAGTAATACAAGGAACTATGATCTACAGTTTTTAAGACCATTATGCAGGTGAGAAACAGAGAAGAGAATGGGATCAAACTGAAGCAAAACCACATCATACATGACCTTCTGTACTACGTGTCTTCAAGTGACTCCAAACAAAAACCAGTAGCTCAGTCTCAGATGAACAGATTACAACCTGGGCAAGGACTCACATTGGATAGGGGCTCTGGCCTTTTAAATATCTTTACCAACCTAAGAATCTTCCCTGTGGCCAGGCTCAAAATAGGGGTGGAGGTACCGAGGAACAGGAGAGTTCTATGTGTTCTCACTGTATACTCTGCTTCATTAGGAGACTGGGCTGGTTTGAACAATGAATGATGCCATGTGGACATAAGGTGTGAGGATAGTCCTTGCCTATAATTATGCACCTGAATACTAGTACCCAACCCTTACCTTTCCATGACCCGACATGGTCTAAACCAGAGAGAGAGATTCTTCTTGGTACCATAGTGTACCCTGGCTTCTTGCTACTGCGGTACCCAGTCAACAGGAGCTGATCTTCCTGGCGCCGTTCAGAGAGATAACTTGGCTTAGGAGGGCGAGGAGGTGGAGTATTGGACATAATGCTTAGTTCTTTTGCCCCACTGGGTAAGGAAACTTGCTTTTTTTCTACATGAATTATGGGATTTAAAGAAGATTCCAGAAATGGTGAAGAAGATATGTGGTTCCTGGATGGGACATTGATTTCTCTATTCCAGATTAGAGCAGGCTGGGGCCTTGTGGAAGGCACATCCTGAGATCCATTCCCTTGGTGCTGGGGTTGGATCAAAGTATTAGAGGTAAATGGCTGCAGACCATCAAGAAAAACATCATCAAAAGAAGTCTGTTCCAATGAACGGTCTGAATTTGACCAGCTATCACATCTGGTTGGAAGACTGAAGAAAGAAAAGCATATAAATTTGATTGATATATGGACATCCATACACAAACTCCACATATACTTCATTCTAAGTTGCCATATGCCATCCTTTTTCTACTTGTAGAGACTTTTTTTTATAATACACATTTATACCAACTCCTTAGTACAGAAAAAAAGTGTGTTTGTTTGTTTCATCCTATATAGCATCAGATGAGTAGGAAATGCAAGGTGAGAAATGAAAGTCACAATGCAGAAACCCATGACTCACTTTATTTAGAATACTATTTCATCTTTAATAGTGATATTGATAATGATCTGCCCTCATCCTTTGCAGTAGTAAAAAAGAGATGAGAATATACCCATATACTAGAAAACATTCTTGCTAAACTGACTTATTTGTCTATATTCTTTGAGCACATCTCAGATACAGACTGCAAAAGTCAGTGTGAGCTCTATGAACAGAGCAGAACATTCTAGAAAGCCCAACTGAGTCTCCAAAGTAAGCATACCTGGTATGGTGTAGTCTTCCAGTTTCACAGTTGGACAGGATCAGATAATCAGGAAGGAAGAGAAACTCTGACTCACTTCTGATTTCCTCAGTGGATACGATATTAGTGTTTGGGTCATCTTTTGGCAAGGCAGAGTTGGCAACATGGGCGGTATGAAGTGAACTGGCAGGGGATGGCTGGAGGGAGGAGGGCATGGGAGAGAGACTCTCCACAGAATCTGCTGGAAAAATCATTTCCCAGGTTAGTGTTTTAAGAATGGCTATAACACTCACTCAAAGTTTCTCAAATAGTATCCAAAAACCAAATAGAAGATGCAAATCACAGCTGGTGTTTGTACTGGTGGAGGCAACCATTTCCTCAAGCTATAAACAATGTCTGGGAAAGGAGACCAGTGTTCCAAGAGTGAAGTGTTGAATCAATTAAGAGAAAACAAAACAAAACAAAAAACTTAAACAAGCATTCTTGGCTTGAAAATCTGCAGTTCAATAGTCTACATACAGCTTAACAGTCCTCAGCAGAGTTGAATCACTCAACAAATATACATATATATGTGCATATGCATTTAATGTATTTATGCATAACAAGTTTATGTGTATATACTAATATATATGTATATATGCATTCAGGCATATAAATATTATGGTTTGGATATGTCTCCCTCCCCCCAAAAGGCTCATGTGTTGGAACTCTGATACTGAGTAGTGAATTCAATCACTGAAAAGTAACTTGGATCATGTACATTCCCATTTAAGAATGGATCAATCTACTGAGGAATTGATAATTTAATAGCGTTATTTGTAGGTTGTGGAAGCTTTTGAAGGCAGGGCCTCTTTGAAGGAAACAAGTCACTAGAGAGGCATATTTGGGGGGGCATATTAGGCTGTATTCCATCCTACCCCCATTCCTTCCTGTCTATAACAATGCAAGCAGTCTGTGCTACACTCTTCTACTGCTTTAATATTCTGTTTTATCTCAGGCCCAAAGCAATGGAGCCAGTTGACCATGGTTTGAAACTTCTGAAATGGTGAGTAAAATATGAAAATTTCTACTTTCAATTTGTGTCATGTATTTGCCACAGCAACAAAAATCTGACTAACACAGAAAATTGGCACTAGGGAAGGGGTGTGGCCATAATTGTTCCTGAATATGTGGTTCAGATGCCTTTGGAACTGATTTATGGGATGATTTTGGGAATTTTGAGACCTGAGGTAAAGAAGATCTGGAATTCTGTAAGCAGAACTTCATGATGACTCTAGTGGGAACTTAGAAAATAAGAATCTTGTAAGAGTCCAGACAGAAAAGACTATACTCATGATGTATCACAAGAGAATGAAAATTCTTCTGGGGATAGAATTAGAGTTCATGTTGTATAGTAGAAAAGAACATTACTGCATTCTGTCATGCCCTGAGACTTTGTGGAAGGCAGAACACAAAGGGCAACATAATGTTCACTCTATTCTACAAGGGTTGCGGGCTGATTTTAGTCAGGTTTACAATAAGAATCAAGGAACAAAAAGCAAGATGCAAGAACTGAGTTTTTTGTTATTTCATTTTATTTTTAATTTTAGTTTTATTTTAGTATATAGATGTTTTGTCTACCTGTATGTCTGTGCACTGTGTGTGTGTGTGCAGTACTTGAGAAGGCCAGAAGAGAGTATCAACCACATGGGCTGTAGCTCACAAGGCTAGAAAGCCATAGCTCTCCAAACCTTGAGGAGCTCACATCACAGTACCCTATGCTCCAGCTGATGGACATGGAGCTATAGGATTTAATACTTGACTTTCTGGGTTTTGACTTTGCGTGTGTCCCATTCCTCCTTTCTTATGCTCCCATCCTGCCCTTAGGAGTGGCAATGTTTACACTGCCAATATATGTTGGGAGTATGTAAATTTTTTTAAATATTTATTTATTTATTATGTATACAATATTCTTTCTGCGTGCATGCCTACAAGCCAGAAGAGGGAACCAGACCTCATTACAGGTGGTTGTGAGAGACCATGTGGTTGCCGGGAATTGAACTCAGGACCTTTGGAAGAGCAGGTAATGCTCTTAACCACTGAGCCATCTCTCCAGCCCGGGAGTATGTAAATTTTTTATGGGGATTCACAGAGAAGAGATTGCCTCCAGTCTCCACATAAGACTTTGTACTTGGATTGATTTTTGAGCAATGCTGAATCTGTTGACAATTTGAGAAAAGAATTTGAGGGGTTTTGTTTTTTTTTTTTTGGTTGTACACAGGATAGTCAAAGGATGTGATGTATGATCGTGTTACTGTCTTTATTTGGGGTTTAAATATGGTTTGAGGAGATTTAATAGGGTATCAAATAGAAAGAACTTGGAATGATTAATCTTATCAACTTGACTGGACTGAAAGATGACTAAAAGGTTATTCAGGCACAGTTCTGAGTATAAGCATTTTTACATTTTCACAAATGGTTAAGGGGAGAAATGTGTGTACATCATCCAGTGAACTAGAGTCCTGGATGAAACAAAAAGAGAAGAAAGAAATATAGGCATTCATTCCCCTTGTTTCTGGCTGTGAGGTGAGCAACTGTGATGAGCACATTTTCTTGTGGCTATCATCTTCTGTCTCACAACAGATCCACTGAAATAGGCCTACAAAGGATCCAAGCAATCAGGGACTGAAACCACCAGCTAAAATAAATCTGCCCCCTTTTGTGTTTGTCACTACACCAAAAAGTCTAACACATTCTGTATGCATAAATACATCTTCTAGTTATCAATGACAGGTTCTAGTTATCTGTTTTCTTCAGGTATCCTCTATTGTAAAGTAGAGATGACAACAGCACATCTGGCACAGAGTCATAGGGAAGATACAATGTTGCCTAGACTGTGACTAACAAAGACAGAAGCAAATGCTATACAGTTGTTTCTTCTTATGGTACTTTCCCTTTCTATGGTTTTATTTACCTGAAATCAACCTTAGTCTGAAACTATGAAATGGAAAATTTCAGAAATAAGGAAGTAGTGTGTTTTCTCACTGTGATGGTGGGGCTGATCTAATGGGAACTCACCAAGGCCAGTTGGATTGGGACTGATGGAGCATGTGATCAAATCAGACTCTCTGAACGTGGCTGACAAGGAGGGCTGACTGAGAAGTCAAGGACAATGGCACTGGGTTTTGATTCTACTGCATGTACTGGCTTTGTGAGAACCTAGTCTGTTTGGATGCTCACCTTCCTAGACCTGGAGGGAGGGAGGAGGACCTTGGACTTCCCACAGGGCAGGGAACCAAGACTGCTCTTTGGACTGGAGATGGAGGGGAAGGGGGGTTGGGGGGGAGGGAAATGGGAGGAGGGGAGGAGGTGAAATTTTTTAATAATAATAATAATAACAATGTGTGTATGTACGTGTGTACATGTTCAGGCAACTGTGCGTGTGTTTGTGTGTGTGTGTGTGTGTGTGTGTGTGTGTGTGTGTGTGTGCAGTGGATATGAAGGCTAGAAGAGATCTTCGGATCTCTTGGATCTGGAGTTACAGGAAGTTATGAGTTGCCTGATGTGGATGATGGGAACCAAACCTAGGTCTTCTGCCAGAGCAGTGTGCACTTTTCACCACTAAGCCATCTCTTCAGTCCCAGAAGTCATAAATTTGAAATTCTGAGGCATTATGACAAATTTTTGTGCATACACTATGTTCCATCTGGGATTTTAATCTCCTCTCTGTCCAGTATATGCACAGTCTGCACTATTGTACCCATCCAGCATTAGCAGCCGTCTTTGCTATCTAGTTGTCATGGCACCACAGTGATTGTTTTTACGTAACTTTTTTTTTCTTAATAATAACCTTAATGTGTAAGAGTAATGATCCCAGTAATAGAACTGTGTTAAGTAAATGTCATAAACAGCTTCTGTTAGTACAAACAAGTGGCATATTTTCACTTAATATGAAAACATCTTATATTAAGTTTGCAAGATTGACATAGGAATGAACCTTTTATTCTTAAAATTGTGAAGAAAAATAGGTATTTATTTTGCTGTCCCACTTCAAACTGAAAAAAGTTTCTAGTGACAGTCATAATGTATGATAAACACTTATGTAAGATAGAAAGGCATTAAATGTGTGCATATATACTTAGAGAATATGATATACCATCGAAAATAGAGACTGGAACTTTCTGAGGCTTCAGGCATCTACTAGAGATTTTGAAATCCAACACCTGTAAATAAAGGGGGTTGCTACATATGGAAAGTTGCAAGAAAGCCTTTATAACATGGATTTCAGGTGAAAAGGACTTGACCTTTACATTTTCCTAAAAACAGAGGGAATAAAAGGAGTTGTGGGGAAGTTTCTTGGTTTCTTCCAAGTCCATAACAGGGTCGAGTTGTCTAGGTTCTTCCTGGTTCTTTATTCCTGTTCTTTTTGGAGTCACTGAGAAATATCCTACATATATATGTTTTGGGACAACTGCTGGATGAAAAGAGAAAGAGGAGACTCATTCGAGTGTGTGTGAAAAAAATAGATGTAAAAGTTTGGGTAAACCACGCCCCTTGCCCATGCTACCTGTGATGCGTGAGGGAGCTGGCCCTCCCCCTTACCAATTGCAGCACTCAGGGAAAGTGGTTTCTGATCCTTGCCTGGGACAGCACAATAGAACTGACCGTACAGACAAGGGGGTGTGGGTGAACTGACTAGAAAGTGAGTATTGGAGATCTGGCCCCACCCCTCATCTGCCACATAGTGACATCCCTACCACACCACCTGTGGCTGATGAGAGAGCTGGCCCTGAGGACAGAAGAGCTAGAGACCTGTCCCTGCCCCTCACCAACTGCAGCACTGTAATGTTGGCCCTGAAGGTGTAGGTGTAGAAGAGCCTACCCTGAAGGCCTAAAAGCAAGAGAACTGGCCTGGCCCCTTACTCATCACTACAAAGGGTGAACTAGCCCAGACAAAGCTGGAGAGCTCATGCTGGTGGTGAAGGGGAAGGGGAAGCTGGCAGACTGACCAACCTTGCAATTACCCAGGCCCAGAACCAGAATTATGAGTTGGCCCACCACAACATCCACCCCATCTGTGATCTTCTGGAGCACACAAAGGGGCTGGTCCTGCAGACTCAAAGCTTCAGGATCTCCACAACACAGGACAGCAACAGGATATCCAAGAAGGGTCTCAGTGAGGGCCCAATATCGAAGTGTAGCAGAAACCAGAAGTCTCAAACCAGACCAATATCTCTTTGCAATGAACACTTACAAACAAAGATATGTGGATAAAAGTGTTTACTGCATGACTCCACGGTGTCACACTACAGCTTCCATGACGAGATATTTTCTTTTTTTCTCTTAAATTCTATTTTAATTTATTGGGGAGGGGGCAGTTGCAAGGGCAGAGGGCAGATACAAAGGGATGGGAAATGAATGGGATCAAGAAGCTTAATGTGAAAGACACAAGAATAAATAAAAAAGAAAGTTAAAAATGTTTGGCTGAAGGTAGAAAATAGGATAGTGGAGAGACAGCAGCAAGCACCATTGGAAGAGTTGGTCAGGGAGGCTCTGCTAGGTTTGCTTGATATCAGGCTCTAGGCATGACTGATATATTGCGACTTTGCAAGCTCTATCTGTTGTACCAAAGATAAAATACTCACTGTCACTTCATTTCCTTTTATTTGAGTGCTTTCAAAATTCAGTAATGTTACTAAATAATATCACTTAATAAGTTTTGCTGACTCATGAAAGGAATACACACATGCATGTTTGCTTTAGAAATGCAACCCTGACTCCCCATTGCCACCTGGTGTTATAATGTGGATATTTCCAAGGTAGATGGTAAAAAGAGTTAAGAGTTATTGAAATGTTGAAGTATGTGCCAAGATCAGGGATACAATTTTTTTTTTCTACTAAACAAAGAGGCTAAAAGAAGTCGGATACAAAATTCCCTATTTCAACTGTCAGAATTTGGTGAGATAATACTAGGGCACTGTGATAGCTAATCTTGGTTGTCAACTTGACTACATCTGGAATCAACTAAAGCCCAAGTGGCTGGGTAAGGCTGTGAAGGATTTTCTTGATTGAATCATTTGAGGTGAGATGGCATACCCTAAATCTTGGTCACAATTTCTGGTAGCAGTCCACAGAAAAAGTACATGGAAAGACGAAGCTTTTACTTTTTGCGTGCTTTCCCTCACTCTTTCTGGGAAATTCATCTATCCTGCTGCTGAGGCATTCCTTTGCTGGTATTAGAACCTACATTTTAAAGATTTCATTGTAGAGTGAAGACCAACTGTGGCATACACATCCTCATGGATTGAACAACTATCTGATTCTCGGCCTTTCCATCAGGAGACAGCCATTGCTGGACTAGCCAGACCACACATGTAAGCCACTCTAATAAACACACACACACACACACACACACACTATCAGTTCTATTTCTTAAGAGAACCTTGACTAATACAGGCTCAAAAAGGAAAGATTTTCTACAAAGGAAAGTAAATTATAACCCCAGGCTATAACCCTCTTGTATATTACATGGGAATAGTAGTATGTGGAGACAGGGTCAAAGACAAGGGAGGGAAGGAGATGGAGAAGGAGAGGAAGTGGAATTAGAAGGCAAAGGAAGAAAAAAAGGGAAAGGAGAAAGAAGAAAGAATTAATTGCTCTCAATGCCAAAAAGTGACCCAGAGCCAACTTTCAGGTTGTTTATCAGCAGAGATCTCCAATGTTATATGTATGGGCAAGTTTTGCCTTTCCACATTTGGAACCGAATCCTACTACTAAGCAAAAGACAGTTTCAAGTGTTGTATTAGTAGGATTAGCTTTGATAATATTCATTAGATTGCCAAAGTACCTTCACAGAGGCAGGCACCACTTATTTGCAGTAGTTTTCCAGCACCAACAAAGCATCTTGGACAATCCCTTTCCTCACAGGAGTTCCAACCCTGCTCTTACCTGCACCATCTTCTAGGTGACTGAGATTGCAGACTTGACTGATGCTGTGTACCCACACCTGCATTTCTTCCTCAGTCTTGGCTACTAGGTAGAATGTACGGGAAGTAGTCTTGACAATGAACACAAAATTGTTCTGAAATTCTTTCCTAACGAAGTCAGGGCCTGCATGCTTCCACACAGTGCATTCACTGAGGTCTATCACACGGATAGGCTTGCTGGAGTGCTTGTTGCGATAGTACTCTAAGACATCAGGATTGCCACTCATGCGGCCCCGCCGGAGAACAAACCATCGCTTGCGCCAAGCCTGCAGAGAAAATTTGACATGAAGCTATTAGACCAATTTTTCGTGTTTCTTAAGCTCTGACAAGGACCTTATAGCAGGGACAAGGACAGCAAGAAAGAAGAAAAACTGTCATTCTAAAGTAACACTTTTTCTTAGAGAGAGTCTTAAAGAGGGCACAATAGATTCAAACTCACTGTGTAGTCAAAGGTGACTTCAAATTCTTTATTTAAGGGGCTGGGAGCTAGACTAGTTGCTCAGTAGTTAACAGCACTTGATGCTCTTGCAGAAAACCTGTATTCAGTTCCTAGTATCCACACGGCAGCTGGCAATCACCTGTAACTCCAGTTTCAGGGGATCCAATGTCCTCTTCTGAATTCATGGGCACCAGATATGCATGTGGTACACAGACATGCATGCAGTCAAAGCATTCACACATATTAAATAAAATAAGTAAATGTAGTGTGTGTGTGTGTGTGTGTGTGTGTGTGTGTGTGTGTGTGTGCTGGACAGTTTTATGTCAACTTGATACAAGCTAAAGTTATCTGAGAGGAGGGAACTTTAATTAAGAAAATGCCTCCATAAGCTCAGGTTGTAGGCAGGCTTGTAAGGCATTTTCTTTTTCTTTTCTTTTCTCTTTTTTTTCTATTTTTTGTTTTCTTTTCAGGACAGGGTTTCTCTGTGTAGCCCAGGCTGTCCTGGAACTTGTTCTGTAGATGAAGAGACTCTGGCCTGAAACTTGGAGATCCACCCACCTCTGCCTCTCAAGTCCTGGGATTAAAGGTGTGTGTCACCATCACCTAGCAAAAGGCATTTTCTTATTTAGTGATTGATGGGGGGTGCCATCCCAGGCTGAGTAAGCCTTGGGGAGCAAGTCAGTAAGAAGCTCCCCTCCATGGTTTTTACATCAGCTCCTGCCTCCAGGTTCCTGCTGTTTGAGTTCCTGTCCTGACTTCCTTTAATGATAAACAGTGATATGAAAGTATAAGCCGAATAAATCCTTTCCTCTCTAACTTGCTTTTTGGTAATGGTGTTTCATTGTATCAACAGAAAACCTAACTAATACTATATTTCTGATTTTCTCTTGCCACCATTTCCCAAGTGCTGGTATTACAGTTCATAACCATACCAAACTTCCTAATGATACATTTGGTACTAAAGAAAAAATATACCATCTGTAAATCTGCTTTACTGCATAGTTTTAAGGACAGGTCAGTATTGGGGAGGCTAATGATACAATTCATAGCCACAGTTTGGAGAAGGGAGTGAGGAACTTGAGTCCCACACCTTTTTATTTAAGGTATCCCTTCATTATCTCATGCAACTGGACCAGGGCACATACATAACTTTATGTTGTAGCAATTGGACACATTAGCCCCAAATGGGAATGAACACAGAAAAGGGAAACATGGTAACAACAAATGCAAGTGGAGAGATTTATAGCTCTGTGGTTTTTCTCTTCCAAGTGATGGCATTTGTGCTAGCTGGATGTGTGGTTCTGCTAAGAGGCATGGTGAGCAACAGAATAGGAAGTCTTCTGTAACTATAGCTTTAACAATAACAACAAAAAGATTTGTTTTTGTTTGTTTTCATGTGTCTGAGTGTTTTGTCTGAACACCACAAGAGGGTTTTTAATCCCATGGACCTACAGTCATAGATAGTTGTGAACCACCATATGGGACTTGAACTCAGGCCTTCTTGAAGAGCAGCCAGTGCTCTTAACCCTGAACAATTTCTTCAATCTCTGTATCTCTAGTTTTTAAGCCAAGAAGTTAGGGGGGAAAATCATCATTTGGAGCATATTCACTTCTCTCTCTATTCAAATAATATGAGATTCAGGGAAGCAGAGACTCTAAAGATGGTCTTTGTTGAAAAGAAAAGACCAGCTGTCACAAAAGACCCATAAGTATACCTTAGAATCCAAAGTCAGTTGTCACAAAAGACCCATAAGTATACCTAAGAATCCAAAGCCCTTCTAGGCTGTTTCAAGGGATAGCAAGCAAAAGGACAGTCACTGAGTTGGGTTGAGGCAGAAAAGCCCTTCCCTAGATCTGCCTTTACACGCATGTAAAGCTCTGAAAAGAGATTTGTCTCTCAGAAGATGGAGGCAGAATGACAGGAGAAACAACAGCATGAATATTTTATGTGAATAATCTAGGAGGAAGAGAAAAATTAATGACTCAAAAATGTCTGTTACAAAAACAGGCACTGCCAGGCATGGTATACTTTAATCTTAGAATTTGGGAGGCAGAAGCTGATGGGATATCAAGGCTATCTTACCCTACTAAGTGAGTTCCAGTTCAGCTGGACTACAAATTGAGACCCAGTCTCAAAAAACAATAACAACAAGAAAACATGACTGGAAACAAGAAAACTGAATGGAAGTGGGTCATTAGCAAGGAGAGGAATTCACCTCGCTCTGGGGTTTAGAATAGGAGGTGGGAAACCAGTTTTGGGATTAACAGGGACAAAAGACAGGATGATGTCTTGCATGCCTGCTAAGAAAAGCTTTCAGGGAAGGCCTGGAGAACCCCAAACTTTCCATGGGCCACTTTGGTGAGGAAATGTGAAGAGGAACTTTGTTTTACTTCTTTAAAAATGGTTCCAAAAGAGGAAATCAAATTGAGCACAGAAGCAAGTTTCATGTTAAGTTCTTTTAACACAGACATTATAATTCATTGATTCAAAAAGTACAAGTTGATACAATAATATGCTACATACTATGCAGATACTGAAGAAGTCAAATCAAGCAAGTCACATATCATGCCACTCCCAGTCTTGTGGGTGGTGGCGGAAGTGGGCAGATGGATAATCAGATAATTGTAGTCAATGAGACAAGTGTTATAATAAAAGAAAACCAAGAAACTAAGAGAGAACACCTGTCAGATCAAGGTCTGGGAAGGCTCCAAAGAGAAGTGGTGACTATACTATGACTAAAGCAATACAGAGAGGGGAGCATGCACAAAGGCACAAAGAATGAAAAGGCATGACATTGTTCATAAGTAGCTCAGCAAGGCTAGAGAAAAAAGAGTTACATACGTAACTTGAGGAAGATACAATGCAGTCTTGATGCTAAATCAAACAAGATTACTAGCATGAGTTTCCCTAGGTTTTAAAATGTTTGCCTGAGAACTATGATTGGACAAAAGCCAAAATAATTTGTCCTAGGAGCTGTTTGCTAAGTAAGTAGGTCAACAACCAAGGTTCAATGCATAACAGAGAAGATAAAGCTTCTGTACAGTAAAAGAAATGACAAAATTAAACGGCAACTGTGAAAAAGAGACTGTGAAAAACATTGCAAGTAACGCTTCTGATTAGGTTGGGTGTGTTATTGTTGCTGTTTTGTTGGTTTTGTTGATGTTGTTGAGACATGGTTTCTCTGTGTAACTCTCTAGTTATCCTGAAATTCACTCTGTGGGAACCTAGTTGGCCTCTCAGTCAGAGATCCATCAGTTTTTGCCTCCTGAGTCCTGGGACTTAAGGCATGCACCACCACACCCAGCTGATTAGATTTAACTTCTAAAATGTACAAAGAACTTCTAGGACTAGAAAGATGACTCATTGTTTTAGAGTGCATGCTGATCTAGTAGAAGACCCAGATTCTGTTCCCAATACCCACATCTGTTACCTCTTATAACCTCAGCTCCGGGGGCTCTCCAGAAAGCCCTCTTCTGACTTCCAAGGGCACCTGCACTCAGGTACACAACACCTTATACAATATACATAATTAAAATAAATAAATATTTAAAATGAATAAAAATTTTAAGATAGGATGTTTACAACTCAATATCAGGACAACAAATAACCCCACTTAAACTGGATGGGTGTGGAGGCATATGCTTTTAATTCCAGTACAGAGCTGACAGAGACTGGAGGATCTCTGTGATCTCAAGGCTAACCTGGTCTACTTAGTGAGTTTCAAGTCATTCGGAGCTACATGGTGAGACTCTGTCTCAAGGGAAACAAATAGACAAGGATCTAAAGAGAAGCTTTACAAAGAAGACATACAAACAATTGTTTGCGATGGTGGAGAGAAAGGGGTACCCATGTACACTCTTAGTGGGAAATGTAAATTAGTATGATTACTATAAAGTTAAAACTAGAACTACTGTATGACCCAGAAATTCCTTTTCTGAATATATATATATATAAAGAAGACAAAATCAACATCTTGTAAATATGTCTGCATTGTCATGTTTATACCAGAAATGTTTAACAGTGGACAAATGGTTTAAAAAATGTGGTATATCTACACAAAGAAATGCCATTCAGTCTTTTTACAGAAAATAATCTTTATTTTGTTGAACTCAAAGTCAACTGTTTAGTAACCAATCACGGGAGAGATATTCTGTAGGAAAGCTATTTCATCATATTTGCATTTTGTATCCACACACACAGGGAAAGGATTATACAGAGCAGTTATGGCAGGTGGCAGGGGTTTGAGGTTGTCAAGACCTGCTTACTCCAGACTTCCTCACATCATATGATGGCTCACTCTCTTTGACCTCTAGCACAGCTCAATAACACACTGCTTTCCACAGTTCTTCCATTCCTGTAAGTCTTTCCCAATTACATTTCCTCTGGAACAAGGCCTATAATTTAGAGAGCAGTGTCTTTCCTTACCAGTGAATCACTGGATCTTAGCACAATGTTAAGACTCAGTTAACACTTAAGCAAATTAAGACCATTACTGAAATAAAAAGTTATTGAACGTTCTTTGGTAAACCCTTGGCTTTAGAGGGACATCATGAATCTGTGTATTCCCTATGTACTCCAGTTGAAATACGGATGAGGAAGACCTTGTGCCACAGATGGAAACTGAAGGGCATCTTTTGAACACTTTGGTTATGAGGAAGCACCCTCATTCTACTCAAGCAGTCAACTAATTAGCTGAAAATACCACTTTACCAAAAATAAATGGATTGAAAAGTAAATATTAGGGCTGGCAAGATGGTTCAGAAGTAGAGGCTCTTACTGAAAGCCTGGTGACCTGAGTTTATTTCTTGGAGTGCAAAGAAAGTGAA